GATCACGAGGTCAAGAGATCGAGACCATCCTGGTCAACATGGTGAAACCCTGTTTCTACTAAAAAACTACAAAAAATTAGCTGGGCATGGTGGTGCGTGCCTGTAATCCCAGCTACTCAGGAGGCTGAGGCAGGAGAATTGCCTGAACCCAGGGGGCGGAGGTTGCGTTGAGCCGAGATCGCGCCATTGCACTCCAGCCTGGGTAACATGAGCGAAACTCCGTCTCAAAAAAAAAAAAGAGGGTGGCTCACATGGAGCAGAGGCTGTGGCTGGAGGATCTTGTGCATGGGTCTCAGTGCTGCCACTGGAGGGGAGCCCACTGGCCTCGTTCCTCTCCAGCCTCTGCACCTCACAGGCCCAGCATGAAGGCAGTACTTGATGCAGATTTGCTGAAGGACAAAAAAGGTGGGAGGGAAAGACCGAGACCAAACCCTGGGCAGTGCTTTCCCCATGGCTGAGAGGTGGCAAGTCTGGGCGCAGGTCACGTGCCCCCAGAGTCACCTGAGCCAGGATGACCACTTTTTCTTCAAAAATGGAGAAAAATGGGCCCGGTGCAGTGGCTCATGCCTGTAATCCCAGCACTTTGGGAGGCTGTGGCGGGAGGATCACTTGAGCCCAGGAGGAGTTTGAGACCAGCCTGGGCAACATAGGGAGACCCTATCTCTACTTAAAAATTAAATAAATAAATAAAAAGCCAGGTACAGTGGCTCATGCCTGTAATCCCAGCACTTTGGGAGACTAAGGCGGCCGGATCCCGAGGTTAAGAGATTGAGATCATCCTGACCAACATCGTGAAATCCTGTCTCTATTAAAAAACACAAAAACTAGCCAGGCGTGGTGGCGTGCGCCTGCAGTCCCAGCTACTTGGGAGGCAGAGGCAGGAGAATTGCTTGAATCTGGGAGGTGGAGGTTGCAGTGAGATAAGATCGTGCCACTGAACTCCAGCCTGGCGCCTGGCGAGAAAACGAGACTGTCTCAAAAAAAATAAAAGGAAACTGAATTCAGCCTTGAGAGGTCTTGGGAACACCCATTTATGAACACTGGCCCACGTTCTCCACACCATTCCTCCCTTTCCCAGTGAGGGGCCGGTGGCGCGACTCTGGAGCCAACAGGAAGGAGCACCCCGGGGCGGCTGCGGCATTAATTACCTTCCAGGTTTGTGTCACGCCCCTTACCAAGTCTTGTTGGGGATGAAGGCACGTAAGTACCTTTTGCTGCAGCCGCGCCGTACGTCTGAGTGACTAAGGGGCAGTCGTGAGAGCCAGAGTCCAAGATCTCATTGGCCGTCTCCAGACTGCCATCCAGCCTGGAGGGGAGAAAAAGTGACACAGCTCAGCGTCTCCACTCAGGGTGGCCTCTGGGGGGGCAGCACATGCCGGCAACAGAGCCGATGCGCCACTCACCACACAGGACGCCAGGCATCCGCCACGCCGCAGCAACTTTAATCTCTTTGTGTATCTGCACACATTTTTACATGAAGAGTTTTACATGGAAAGTCTAAAGAGGGAGTTATATCTAATGAGGCAATATTTCGCTTTTACAATGGAGAAATATAATAACTAGGATTTACTGTTAAAAAAGACCCCATCTCTACAAAAAAATAATTAGTTGGATATGTTGTGTGCCTGTGGTCCCAGCTACTAGGGAGGCTGAGGTGGGAGGATCCCTTGAACCCAGGAGCTCAAGGCTACAGTGAGCTGTGATTGCACCATGGCACTCCAGCGTGGGCAACTGTGAGACCCTGTCTCTAAAATAAATAATTATAGTATTGTTAGAACTTTTTGTCATAAAAAATGTGTAAGACAGAATGAAAATGCATTGCTTCCTAATGAACAAATGTTAACTCCCTGTTTTCCAAGAGCAAACCCGTCCCCTACAGTGAGACAGGAGGCTCTCAACCATGTGCAGTGAACTGTGGGGGCCACCACGTTGTGCCTTCCTTCCCAAATGCAAAGCTCCACCCTTTGGAAGAGGGCCCGGCCTCCCTGTGCCTCTCCCCAGCTAAGAACAAATGCAGCTCCCACCACCCCTGTGTCGCCTCTGTGCCTAGTCCCTGAGGGAGCCCTGGTGCCGCATCGATTTCATCTGGGAAAGCAAAGCTCCTGACCAGCATGGCATGAGCTGCCACACTGGAATCTGCCCCTCTATGTCACTGGTTTTCAAGGAAATAAACAAATATATGCCAGGTGCCCCAAAGGCCACCTGCCAGCGTGGAGCAGCTTGGTGCAGTGGGGCCGGGAGCAGACTCACCGGTGCTGCTTCATCAGGGCGCACTCGCCGCCCTCCTGGGGGTCCAGGTTGTACATGTACAGATACCCGTCAGAGGCGCCCACCAGCAACCTTGGGATCTTCTGAATTCTAGGGAGAATCAAGAGTAGCCACGTTCTAGACAATCTTCACAAGAAGGGGCTTATTACACGGGCAGCCTCACTCTTGGCAAGGTGAGGGAGGAGACCCCAGCAAAACGAGCACTAGGGCAGCTCTGGGCATTTAGTGCATCATTGACCCGGCCCACAGCACCAAGACTGCATTCCGTGCGCTGAGCCCTGAAGCCCACAGGAGGAGAGAGCAGGACAAAACCGGATTTATGGCTTCTGTGAATATTATGGGTTGTCATTGTCAGAGAGCTTTTCGACGACACTAGTCAGATAACAGAACCAGAAAATGATGTTTAGAGGTGCACGGAATCCCAAAGCCCTGCTATCACTGGAGGTAAAGACAATCTTTCCTGCACATAGCACAGAGCCTTAGACGATCCCAGGCACCTTCACAGGCCCCGTGTGCATTCTGAAGCTGGACCCGGAACTGGATGGAGGCCTGAGACTCGGAAAGTGCAGTTAACTATGGCACGCCCACGAGGTTTGACTTAACGTCTTCTATTAATACTGCAGACCGTCAACAAAAACAGAACAGCGGACCGTGTAGAAATGAACCCCACATGAGACTTAGGAAGTCTCTAACAAAAAACAAATAAAATAAAGAAAAAATAAACCCTGCACAGAGCAGCAAGCCTAGCACCTGCTAGGGCACCTCCCACCCCCGATGACTCTAGATGGAGCCCCAGCTCTAAGGAGCTGCTTTTGTTCAGGAGAAACATGGAAAGGATCACGAGCCGCCAGAACTGGGCCCCTCAGCCTCAGGTGCTCAGGGCAGGGGACGGAGACACTGGCTCTACTCACGTGGCTAGCGAGCAGATGTTTTTGTGGCCGCAGAAGGGCAGGCGGACCGTGGCGAAGGCACGGCCCTGGTTGAACATTTCTGTCACTTGGGAAGGCAGGTAGCTGGTGGAGGCCATGAGCACTTTCCCAAAGTACCCAGTCCAGGTGGTGGGCTCCTCTGGGGGTCTGGAAGGAAAGGCCACCAGACACATGAAGCTGCACCCTCCCTGGGGGGCCAGCCACCCCCTACTCACATAGACATACAGCTCTGGAGCCAAGAGCCAAAGTCTCCATTCTTCACAGGAAAACTAAAAGGGTTGGTTGGTTACATGCAGACACTCGGAACCCCAGGGGTGTCACAGAGCTTCCTCTGGGAGGCATCGGAGGGGGGGGCGCTCAGGCTCCAGGGCAGGGGGATCGTGGCCCTTGTGTGGCCATGGGCAAGACACGGCAGGTGACCATACGTCCCCTTTGGAAGGGTGTGATGGGGCCTGATGACCCCTGCTAGATCTTTGTAACAGAAGTCTCCAAAAACCTTGAGTATAGACCCAAAATTGTTATTTTCCCATAGCCTATTTGTGTGGTTATTCATCATTTTTTGGGGGGCAGGGCAGGGCATGTTCCATTTGTTTTTAAAATTGTGATGAAATATATATAACAAAATTTATTATTTTTAACTATCTTAAGTATGATATTATAATACTGATCTGAGTGGGATGTACTTTTTAAACTTTTTAAAGGCAGGCTGGGCACGGTGGCTCACGGGCAGATCACTTGAGCCCAGGAGTTTCAGATCAGCCTGGGCAACAGAGTGAGATACCATCTCTTCAAAAAATTTAAAAATTAGCCAGGTGTGGTGGCACATGCCTGTAGTCCCAAGCACTCAGGAAGCTAAGGCAGGAGGATCATTTGAGTCCAGGAGGTTGAGGCGCAGTGAGTAATGACTACCACTGCACTGCAGCCTGGGTAACAGAGTAAGACCCTCTTTTTTTTTTTTTTTTTTTTTTTTTTTTTTTTTTTTTTTTTTTTTTTTTTTTTTTTTTTTTTTTTTTTTTTGAGATGAAGTCTTGCTCTGTTGCCCAGGCTGGAGTGCAGTGGCAGTCTCAGCTCACTGCAACCTCTGCCTCCCGGGTTCAAGCGATTCTCCTGCATCAGTCTCCCAAGTAGCTGGGACTATAGACACATGCTACCAGGCCCGGCTAATTTTTTTTGTATTTTTAGTAGAGACAGGGTTTCACCATGTTAGCCAGGATGGTCTTGATTTCCTGACCTCGTGATGCACCTGTCTCAGACTCCCAAAGTCCTGAGATTACAGGCATGAGCCACCGCACCCAGTCAAAACCCTCTTAAAAGACCGCCCTCCCTCTACATATTCATTGCAATAGTAAATACTTACGGAAGTCACCCATGTCTCTGCTTACCCATGGGCAGGGAAGAGACACGGCATTCACCCTTGAGGGCAGTCTGATCACAGACAAAAGCAAAAAGAGGATGTCCACCTGGACCCTTCCTGCCCCACGAGAGGCCTCTGCCTGTCCTATGTGCTGCCGGTGGGAGAACCTGCCTGCTGCGGCCTGCCCTCCTCACTGCCAAGCCCGGATGTGGCAGTGCTGGTTCTATGGCCGGCTCCAGGGTCCTCATCGGCCAACAGTATCAGAGGGTGGGACAGATCCTTGCTTCCATCTCATCCCACCAGCAAGTGGCAACAAAGGGTTCTGATTGTTTTTAAAGGAAGGAATGTTTGCAACTCACTTTTCTTTCACAGTCTCGAGTTTGAAGATGTGCACGGTCTCCGTGTTGCTGGAGGCGGAGAGGAACATGCCGTCCATGCTGAAGGCCAGGGAGCAGATGCTCACGCACCTGGGGAGACGTGCAGGTCAGGGCGGGCCAAAGGAGCCAGCGGCTGCCCCAGGGGCTCAACTCAAGTGGCAGAGAAGAGTTCCTGTCACGGGCACACTTGGGCCTGCTGGTAAGTTTTATTCCCTTCCAGCCACCTTCTCAAACATTTTTCTTGAGAGAGGAAAATGTTCGAAAGGAAATACTAAGCACAACTGGTTAACACAGCTGCAACCTTCCAGGTGACAAAAGGAATCGGGATTTCACTAAACCACTTTTAGCTGCATTAGGATGGATTTCTAGTCCTAAGGTGAGTAAAAGAAAACTCTGTAATTTAAGTTACAGCAATTCTTTCCATGCCAGAGTAAATCGGCAACCTAGGTAAGGTTTAAGAAAGAGTAAAGGGCCAGGCGCAGTGGCTCACGCCTATAATCCCAACATTTTGGGAGGCCAAGGTGGGTGGATCATGAGGTCAAGAGATTGAGACCATCCTGGCCAACATGGGAAACTTTGTCTCTTTTAAAAATACAAAAAATTAGCCAGGCATGGTGGTGTGAGCCTGTAATCCCAGCTACTCAGGAGGCTGAGGCAGGAGAATTGCTTGAATCTGGGAGGCAGAGGTTGCAGTGAGCTGGTATCTTGCCACTGCACTCCAGCCTGGGCGACAGAGCAAGACTCAGTCTCAAAAAAAAACAAACAAAAAACAGAGCAAAACTTTGAACATGCAAAGTGGCTCAAGTGTATCTTAAAAACCAATCGGCATCCCAAAGCCACTAAATTCATGTGAATTTCTTCATGACCGTAGAACTGCAAGACAGTTAACCACAGGCTAACCCTGTCCATAATAGTAAGGGATTTTCTTGGAGTCAGTATTTACCGCATGTATGAATTAGGTATGGGTAGAAATTAGGAATGGTTCTCGCCTTAACACAGCGTTTAATGATGGAGGTGGGGTTAGGGAGGTGCAAATGAAACTGACTTTGCAAAATCATGACTAAGACGGTGAAAGAGATCTAACTTAACCGACTCCATCTTGCTACTCATCTCCACGCTGTCCTTGTTCCTTCCAGGGCATAGGCTGAATTAACTTTGGGAGAAACTTTGCTTACGATATTTTGCAGACCCTGCACTTGACAGATCTGCTGGCTCCTCCCAGATCAATCAACTGGCTCATCTGATCCCGTGGCCCCCACCCAGGAACTGACTGAGTGCAAGAAGACAGCTCCAATTCCCTGTGATTTCATCTCTGACCCATCAGCACTCCTGGCTCACTGGCTTCCCCCCACCCAAGTTATGCTTAAAAACTCTGCTCCCCAAATGATCAGAGACACTGATCTGAGTAATAATAAAACTCTAGTCTCCTACACAGCCAGCTCTGAGTGAATTAGTTTCTCTACTGCAATTCCCCTGTCTTGATGAATTGACTCTGTCTAGGCAAAGGGAAGGTTAACCCCTTGGGCGGTCACCCAAATATTCCATCTGCTACGGGCAAAAGAATGTGAGAAAAATACACAAGGAAGGCAATAGAGAAGCACAGAGAAAGGGATTTAACCCAAGGATCAAAAAAAGGCCTCCTCCAGGGTGACACTCGACTTGGACTCCTAGGCTTGTGGAAGCTGGCCAGGCCACTAGATCTGCAAGCCCACGCAACACCCTAGTGGACAAAAGAGATCAGCTCTTCTGAACAGCTGAAGGTGTGGTACAGCTGGAGCCGGGACAGGGAAAGTGGAATGGAACTGGACTGGGCGGAAGGCCTGGTGAAGCAAAGCAGGGAGTGCGGGGTCAACCATGCAGGGGACAGCAAGGCAGTGGAAGATGTTAGGTGGGGTGTGATTGGATTACATTTACATTTTCAAAGAACAGCCTGGGACAGTCTGAAAACCGGCCTGAAGGGAATCCAGGGAACAGCAGAAACCAGCCAAAGCCTGGGTCAGGTGGGGTGGCGGACGTGGTGCAGGGCCAGCCCACAGCGGGAAGCTCCCTGGATGCACTGTTCCAGGAGAAGGACACAGGGCCGAGCCCCTCTGGTTTGGCTGCCAGGGTGCTGATGAGTGGCACTATTTACCAAGATGGGGAGGGTGAGGGATGAGGGGTTGCTGGAGGCACACTGGCCTGGGGGTTTGAGGTGCCCAGCAGCCAGCAGGGAGGAGGAACATGGGCACCTTAGGAAGCTGGGCTGCGCATCCAGCCCCGGGATTGGCACACATAGCCCATGGGGGTGGGGCAGGGGGCTGGGTGAGGAGCAGCTCCAGGCAGAAACAGGCACAGGAAGGGAAATGAGCAGAAGCAGCAACACAGGAAAAATCTAGAAAGGTATGCTGTGAGGAAGACCAAGGGACATGAGGAGGTAGGAGCTGGAGGAGCGGTGACGTTTGGGGACACTGAGGTCCACCTGTTGCACCTATGGGGATTCCATGAGGAACGGGGGACCAGACGGCAGAAGGGTCTCTCAAAGACAGCCCCTCCTCTTTCAGTGGCCACCCTCAGGGAGGGAGGTACTGATCTGAAATGAGGAGCCAGAGACTTGAGGTTAGGTCCTGCCGACCAAGGCCACGTCGTGGCAAGTGGCCCTTAGGGGTCCGATCCGAGGCCTCCCCTGCTCTGCTGTCCAATGAGGGAGGGACGGTCCTGCCTCGGAAGCAGAAGCCACAGGGGGCGTGCTAAGCACAGATGAGGGAGACTCTGCAGCCTGGATGGAGGAAGGCCAGGGAACGCCAGGCTGAGGCGCCTGGGTTTGTTCAAAGAAGGGGCCAACAATATTTGCTGAGGGTGAAAGCAGAACTGCAGAGCTGGGAACAGGTTCTCAGAGGGAAGCCTTTAAAGGAGGGGCGTGCTACCCACTGGGAGCCACAGGGCACTGGAGGGCCTGCCTGGTTCTGCGAGCTCCTCACAGCTCTCACACTAGCTGGTGGGACTGGAAACAAATAAAAACCCAGTTTGCTTTTCTCAAAGTGCTCTCGAACCCGTGACAAGATCAAGTCCTAGACCTCAACTGGTGACCCAGCTGGGCTAGAAATGCTCGTGTGGAATTCTCCTGGGGGGTGTTTGTTCACAGATAACATAAAACTGAAATCCAAATACAACCTCCAGAATCCATTCTGGACGTTCATATACTTTACCTCTTCACTCCTCTCCGAAACTCAAAGAGTTTTTGTCCCTCTGGAATGGAAAATACCCTAATCACGGTCCCCTGTGGAAGAGAAAGAGAAAAGAATTTGAGTTGAGTTAAAACAGGATTTTCCGATCTTTCACAGCAGACTGCAAATGTACCACACGGCTATCTCCAGGACAGCTCTGTGCTGGGCCACCAGGGAGTTTGGGGTCCTCAAGGGCCCCCCATGAGTATCACCTCCACACTTTTTGCCATGAGGATAGGAAAACACTCCCCTGTTCTATTGTGGTCTTACTGTTCAATCTTCTCTTTAAATCTATTTTAACTGACTACTGACTCTCAACACTAACAGCCTTGAGGGCAAAAGTGGCATATCATCGTTCTAGTGTTCTGAGTCATTTGAAGTTTAAACTATTAAAAATAAAAGCCTGGACTTGTGTGTGGCACACTGGCAAGCCCCTGTGGTCTGACAAGGTTTCAGACCCCACTGAGGTCCTTTCCTGCTGCTTTCAATTCAGTTACTGACCAAGAGAACCGATTAGCTGCAAAGCTCAAGTATCTGGTAAGAGTAAATCCCAACTCATGAAATGGTAAGATGCACATGAAGAAAATCTTACTAAGACAAAGAACTAGGATTACATGGGAGCTCAGCATGTCCCTGGATTAATGGGAAGTTCTTGAAGATGCCAGCTTCCCCAACTAAGGTAATATCAGATCTGTGCATGATGAAACAGATGTGAATATCTGGGAGAATAAATAAGAGAAGAGCCAAGAAAATCATGAGCAGGACTTTCAGTGCTTGAATATTAAAAGAATACTATCAGGTGATAATTTTAATGGTATTAAATTACCACAAAAAGAGACTGATGGAAAGACAGGCCATCAAATGGGTAGCATTTCAAATTTGCAGGGCAGGAAGAATTATTCAACATTCATCCTCTGCAAATTTCAGGTTAAAACTGTTAAATATAAAAACTGTTAGGCATATCTAGGAAGATGGGAGGCCGAGGCAGGCAGATCTCCTGAGCTCAGGAGTTTGAGACCACCCTGGGGGCAACATAGTGAAACCCCGTCTCTACCAAAATACAAAAAAAATTTAGCTGGGCGTGGTGGCATGTGCCTGTAGTCCCAGCTACTTGGGAGGCTGAGGCACGAGAATTGCTTGAGCCCCAGAGGTGAAGGTTACAGTGAGCCAAGATCACGCCAATGCACTCCAGCTTGGGCCACAGAGTGAAACTCTGCCAAAAAAAAAAAAAAAAAAAAAAAAAAAAAAAAAAAAAAAAAAAAAAAAAAAAAAAAAAAAAAAGAATATTAGGCCAAATGCAATAACTCATGTCTGTAATTCCAGCACTTGGGGAGGCCGAGCTGGGAGAAACACTAGAGCCCAGGAGTTCAAGACCAGCTTGGGCAACACAGCGAGACTCCATCTCTACAAAAAACAAATTAGCCAAGGTTGATGCTGTACTCCTGTTGTCCCAGGAGAGGAGGCAGCAGTGAGCTGTGATCATGCCACTGCACTATCTGCCGTGCTTATAGATAGTGAAATGTGGTCGGGTGCGGTGGCTCACACCTGTAATCCCAGTACTTTGGGAGGCTAAGGCGGGTGGATCACGAAGTCAGGAGTTTAAGACCAGCCTGGCCAACATGGTGAAACCCCACCTCTACTAAAAATACAAAAATTAGCCAGGCGTGGTGGCAGGCACTTGTAGTCCCAGCTACTTGGGAGGCTGAGGTGGGAGGATCACTTGAGCCTGGGAGGTAGAGGCTGCATTGAGGAGAGATTGTGCCACTGTACTCCAGCCTGGGTGACAGAGCAAGCAAGACCCTGTTTAAAAAAAAAAAAAAAAAAAATTGGCACTTGAGGATAGCTGGTTCTTTCTGGATGGAGAGGCACAAACTGAATTTATAACACTGAGAATTAGGGGATCAAATATTTTCTGCATCCACACATAAAAATAACCAAAGCAAAGGTTTTATCCTCTGTAGCCTCAACTTTTAGATGGAGATACTTTTTTGGTGGCATATCTACTGTGCAATACTAATTAATTAAGAGCTGTTTTGTTGGCCGGGTGTGGTGGCTCACACCTGCAATCCCAGCACTTTGGGAAGCCGAGGTGGGCAGATCACAAGGTCAAGAGATCAAGACCATCCTAGGCAACATGGTGAAACCCCGTCTCTACTGAAAAATACAAAAATTATCTGGGTGTGGTGGCGTGTGCCTGTAGTCCCAGCTACTCAGGAAGCTGAGGTAGGAGAATTGCTTGAACCCGGGAGGCGGAGGGTGCAGTGAGCTGGAATCGTGCCACTGCACT